GCGCCGCGCGGACACTCACCCGCCCGCGGCCGCCGGGAGTGGCAGCGCCACCCTCCCTCTTCATCGTGCCCCCACAGCCGCTGGCTGGGAAAGGGACAAGACGCGCGAGCCGGAAGTGCTCAGGCGCTGAACCCTCTGGGACTTGTAGTTCTCCCGCTGTCTCGTGGCCTCGGCAGCCGCCTCAAGCACAACTCTTCAGAAACTACGATTTCCGGCGGCTCGGATGTCGCGGGACGGGATTGGCAACTTCAGAATCATTCTATGTAGCAGATCAGAGTCTGATTGGCTCTGTATATCCGTCACTCACAGGTTTAATTGCCTCTGCAAAAGGGAAGGCCGCCCCCAGAAGAAACGCCTGGGCGCTTTTGGTGGAAACAAGGAGTAAAGAGCAGAGCGGCTCCGGAGCGTGGGTGGGGAGGCAGGTACTTCCGCCGCGATCGTCCAATCGCGGAGGCGGGGCAGTTTCTATAAAAGCTTGACTCTCACTCGTTCTCGCTCTTTTGGGATCAAGTACAAGGTTGAGGGAAGTCTGTCTTTTTTTTTTGTCTCTTATGCCACGCTTGGAGAGGAACTGGGCACCGAGTGAAGCCGAGGGGGTCGCCCAAACCCGTAGGCCGGCATGGCCCGGGGGTCCAGCCCCGGCCTGAGCTCCCCTGTGGTCCTCAGCGTGGCACGTGTTCCTTGCCTGCCCCGTTCCGCAATTCCGGCGGGGAAGTCCAAACCTCCAGATCTACAGCTCCCTACAGGTAAGATTGGGCCAGGCCTGGCTTTCCCGATGCTGCTCAGAGCCTATGATGAATTGCTTTAATTTCTGACACCTCGTATGAAAACTGCACATGCAGTCTGATTATTTTGCAAGACTGAGGCTTCAGGGTGCCCCCCCTCCCATTGGCGGGTGGGTCTGAGGGTGAAAACAGATGGGGAGAGGGGGCTTCTGTCTAAATTTCGGCACTATTTGCCTTTCAGTGCCATTGGTGACCTGGTTGGAGACCTTGAATGTAAATCAACGTCAGTCAGTTCCGGCAGCTGGCGGTAAGGCTGGAGGTAGTCCATGTCTGCCTGAAGTGCTCAGCAATAAAGCAAAGGTGGTATGAATTGATTGGGGGTGCAAGAGTCTTTATTTTAACACCAGAGGACTCAATGGGAGGACCGACTCATCCCTGGGCAACCTTGGGAAAGGGTAGAGGCATGAAAATGGAAGTTCATACTTCCCAGCTGCTGAGACAACCTCCATTTTTTACTCTAAGGCCAAAAAAAGATTTTTTGTGCCTTTGCTCTAGGGGGTGTCATGAAATCTTAATTCCTCACTAACAGGATTAATTGGCCACTGAGTGCTTTCTTGTTGTGTCTTATGGAGGGAAATTGAGTTGATCCCCCAGATTACCGCGTGCTCCTTGGACAGCATTGGGCTTCCAGGCAGCCCTTCTCTGCTTTCTTTGACAACCTGGTTATGAGGGAATGCCACCCTCTTAGTGTTGAAGTCAGGATCTGGGCTTTGCCAAGAGCTCTAAAAGGTGATTTCAACAGACAAGACAGGCAATCCAGAAAACACAACTTTATTCACTAGGACTGAAAACAAAGGCTTGAAGATTTTAGTATAAGGTGTACTACTAGCCCCCTCAGCTTGAATCTCGCCAAGTACAGGGCTCAGTGGTGCCAAGATGGTACCCTAGTCAGTACCGGCGATTGCTGGCAGTCCTAGTTTACCAGACATTTCTGTGATTTACCATATGGTATTCTTTGTATTAAAAAGCCACCATCTTGGCATCCTCCAAGGGAACATGAGAGAAAGACTGTAGATTGAACGAGGGCCTCCTATTGAGTGGGCTGGGAGCATGGGCCCCTAGTCCTTGGCACAAGCATATGTGATTCTCAGTGAAGCCCTCTGCTTGGGGCAAGGACAGGAGTCCTGCGGTTCCCTTCCTGGGCAGCATGTGCAGCTGAAGACCTGGCTTTTTAAGGGGTTAGGCACTGCTGCCTAAACTAAAAGCTGAGTATGTCCCGGAGGGGGCAGCAGAGAGCACCAGGTTCCGTGCACAGTTGCTTTCTGGTGAAGGCCTTGGGGTAGGGCTCTCAGGCAGCAGCAGGTGAAAGAGGGCTGCAGACCCACTAGTTCCCAGGAGCCTGTTTATTAGGACTGAAGCTATATAGATTGCATCCCAGACAAGAGAAGGGCTAGGCTCAGCCTGAGAGTCCTGGAAACCCTGGGATTGAGAGCTGGGTGACAAGTCAGAGGGCCCTGTAGACCAGCTTTCCAGGAGCTGTACCCAGCCAGGTTCAGGGTCTGCAGCAGGAGGACCTGCGGCCCTCCCTCTTGACATAGTCGTGCAGCTGGAAGTGGAGCTCGCTGGGGCTCTTCATGGAGCGCTGCTTCAACTCCCTGTGGGGCAGGGGTGACCATGGGACAGGGTGGCCTAAACACCCAACAAGGGGATTCAGATCCTGGACCTGGATCTGGAGGTCTTCCTGGTGACCGACAAGACTTACTTTGCTATCGCTGTGAAGGCCAGATCCACATTGAGGCCCATCTTGGCACTGGTCTCCATGAAAGGCAGCCCATACTCCTGCAAACAGCTGCTGCCAGTCTGGTGGGGACAGCCCAGGCTGTACAGCCCGAGAGGGGGCACCCCCTAGCCACCCACCTTGCCCAGACTCACCTTGGCCAGCTTCTCACCGTCCTCCCTCTTCACCACACGCTCCTGGGCAGAGTCCACCTGACACAGGGGTCTTGGTGAGAGCTGGCCTGGGGCGCACCCACTGTAGAGCCAGAGGAAGAGGACAGGCAGGGGTGCCCACCTTGTTCCCGAGCAGCATGAGCACCACGTCGTGCTGGGCATACTCCTGGATCTCAGTCAGCCAGGCCTGTCATGGGGGAGCTGAGACCAGGCTGGAGGCTGGTGTTCCCCATACCCCTTGCCTCACTAAGCTACACCCCACACAGTGCCTCTAACAGGAAGGGCCCAGAAATTTAGCTGCGTGCCATACTGAGGTGCCCCTGACAAGTATCCAAGGTGGTTGGACTAATGGAGCTGGAAGGTCACCCGGGCCACCTTCAGCTCACACTCTCAATTTGGGCTACCAGGAGCCCAGAGGGGCCCTCTTTCCCCCTCCCTGCTGTCAGGATCCTCAGACCCTGATGCCATCTACCTGAAGGAGGTTGGAGGTGGGGTCAGGCCCCATCATGGCCTGTCACCACCCCTCCACATACACTCACCAACCCAAAAGGAATCCACTGACCTGGATGTTGTCAAAGGAAGCCTTGTTGGTGACATCATAGAGCAGTAGCAGTGCTGGGAGCAGAGGGCCAGTGAGGACACCTCTAGTCACCCACAACCCTCTGAGCAGAAGCCTAGGGAAAAGGGCACACACAGACACAGACCACAGCCCCAACTCCCTGCCCTGGGACACTGCCCATGAGCTCACCATGTGCATCACGATAATAGGCGTGGGTGACGCTGCGGAACCGCTCCTGGCCAGCAGTGTCCCAGATCTGCAGTGACAGGTACAGGCTAGTGGTCAGGGCTGCCCAGTCCCTCCCGAGTGCCCTCAACTCACCCTTTCCCAGTTGTCTCACCTGCAACTTCACCTTCGTGCCATCCACGTCCAGAACTTTGTTCTGAAACAACCAGCCAACACCAGCAATGGGCCCAGTGCCATGTGGCAGGGGCCAGGATGGGGGGGGGGG